TGGTTTGTTTGTGTGTGTATATATATATATATATATATATATATATATATATATATATATATATATATATATATATATATATATATATATCGCCATACTGGTCTTTTAAACAAATTTACGATCATGGCGTCCATATTTTAATTTCAAGTAACGTCCCCCCCCACCCTGTGTGAGAGCGGCAGTGTTATATTTGTAAAGGGTTAGTGTTGTAACCCAGACCTTTAGAAATTCAGCTCCTATCTGTTAAATGCTGCTGGCTTAGTCTGGGTTTGCTCAGTCCGATCAAAACCTAACCTTACGAGGGGATCATCTCAACATGATACGAGCCTTCAATGGTGTTTTGGTGGAACTGTACACGGCCAATAGAACGCATTCAGCACGCCACACACCTCAGGTCACCAGCTATGAGTATTCCAGGTCTCAAGCTTATTTTAGCTTAAGCTTATAATCCCGCTTAAACGCAAACGCAACATAATCTAATTTAACAGACAACACAATTTAACTTGGGCTAACATAATCTAACTGGATTAACATAATCAAACTCAAACCTAGCTTAACTTAATCTTACAACGGAAATTAACCTAACCTAGTCCCCCCAAGCAACTTTATGGTGTTTAATTAGGTGAAATAAACTGGGTGGGGGGGGGTAATCTTCAGGTGATCCTTATTAAAATCTCAAATACGATAAAGTTGTGCATCAGTTTCATTAAAAAAATACAGGTATATAATAATAATAAAATACCTCAGCGTTTGTACCGTCTCCCGCTTAGTGTGTTGTAAGTCTCCTGAAATAACTGGGCCTCCCGTCGTTCGGCAAATTGTCAATAACTCGGAACACAAGACCTGCAAATGTGTCCCCAGTGTATCCAACGGGCTCTTTAAGGCTGTGTCACAAGAATGGTTGATACTGTAGAGTGGAATTAGGGTTGCTACATATTATTTATTTTGTTTATGTAGTGTAAAAAGTTAACTTGGGGTGGTATGAGAATTCGTATCTTGGCAAGTGTGAAAGTTTAGTAATGGTAATTGTGGATTAATATTACTGTACTATATCCTGAACATAAGTTGGGTTAGGTTAGGATTATGGTGTTTAATAATCAGGTGAAATGAACCAGGTTGACTAAATCTTCAAGTGTTACTCTGTATAAAAAAAAAAAAAACCTTTGTAGAAGCCTTGTTAAATCCACCTTATCAGTCCTCGTTATCAGATCTCTCAAAGGGCATAATGGTGTGGTAGTTGTGAAATGGTTGTGTGTGGGGAGAGGGAGCATGTGTTTAAGGGGATTTTTGCGCGTGTCACGGTGTCGTAGTTGTGAAATAGCTGTGTGTGTGTGAGTGACCGGCCTCGCTATCGTTCCTTGGCCTCTCCCTGACTGACCCAGATTTAGTCGTGTTATGTAGTGATATGGTTGGTCCGCCAGATCAATATGGGCGGTTGCGTCTTGCAGTTAAACATGCAAGGTCGCGCGCTTTATAACCTGATCTTCGTATTTTGTTGTTTATTGTCGTTTGGGGGTCATATGTTGTTATTTGTGAGTCTTTTGTGTGTTTGTGTTTCTTATTGTCTGGTGTGTGTTGGTTGGGTCGTTAGTGGTAGTCTTTAAATTAAATTGTGTATTTTTTATAACGAGAAATGCCAATACTTAGACAACACTGAATTAGAGAGAGAGAATACCGGGTTTCCTCTACTTAGTCTTTTGGATAACCGAGCCTTTGGACGACGCTACCTTAGTACGGTTGATACGTTTATTGAGATACACACAAAAAAAAGTACATCTCGAAGGGATGAAGTGACATAAGTCATCCCCCAGGAATGGACATGCATCCATAATACAGATATATCTAATATGATCAATTATAGTACAGAGTTATATTCTAGATGCAAAATTTCTATCTATATATAATATTTCATTTATTTTCCTATTTTTAAACGTCCATTCTATTTGCCTGGAGACATTATTTATATGGGCTTTTCTATATACATTAAGCAATGGGCATTCCAGTATATAATGTGGCAGGGTATGGGATCTGGATGTTCTACAAACTCTACATTCTTTCTCCTGTTCACTTCTCTCAGCTGCAAGTTCCCAATAATATTTATATCCTAATCTTAACCTCATATACACTCAATCTTTCCACCTGCTCCTATCTTTCCCATATGTAAAATTTGTGTTGATGAGAACATGATGGTAATGTTTCATTGTTTCACTTTTTTCATATATTTCATTCCTTTTGAAATTATCTTATATTGATTGTATTTTCCGTAATTTGTTCCTTAATTGTTTCAAAGTTATAATACATATTATGTCGATCTCGGCCTTTTCCGTGGCGCTTTTTGCTATTATATCTACTGCTTCATTAAGACCAATGCCCACATGTGAAGGGACCCACACAAATCGAACACTATGTCCTTTTTTTCCCGTATTGGTTTTAATAATTTTCTACATGAACCAATAATGTGTTCAAAGACTGGACCCGACTGTTCAAAGAAACCAAAGCTGCCCTACTATCAACAACAAAAAAATGCATCGCTACCAAACCCATAGCGACTAATGCTTTCATCCTTACTGTAAATACATTAATATAGTTTCTCCATATATTCTAAATCATCTCCATTTTATTTTAATTTCTCGGAGTGGTGTTGGATTATGATTTCAAGCGATGAGGACAGTTTAAATATTGTTAACGGCGCCATCTACAAACTTGCACAGTCGGTTAAGCACTTAAATGGATAATAATTAATTCGCCTTGTCTCACTCCTAACTCGACTCGGTGGTTTTAGTTTCAGTATATTTGCTTTGGTAAATAATAGTAGAAAAATGCTTTATATAGTAATACTTGTAGTTCTAAGTAGCCAGCGAGTTCGTTACAAGTTATAACCGACTCGGCTGTATAAAACTTCGATGTTAATTTCGTTATTTAGATCATGTAATGTTAATTGTAATGAAAATGGTTATATATTATCTTAATTTATCGTAGTAGAGAATGTGTTATATGTATCCGATGATCTTAATCTAAAGGGAGCGGTGTTTTGAAGATTGTCGCCTTGTGGGGTGGGGAAGGTGTACCCTGTAGTGTGGGGCGCGCGTTGTGCTGCTTGCGTTTTGATTAATCGGCTGATCGATAGCGTCCAATAGAGAGAGAGAGGGAGGGAGACAGACCCGAGAGCCAGGAGCACCGTGGTGGCCCTGACCAAGCTTATACGCAGCAGCTTAGAGGATTGTTCTTCAGAAAAAAAGTCTAATAATAATAATATAATGATGATTGTGGAGGCTTGTGTGTGCGTGTCTGGATATACTCCAAAACTTTCCACAAACTTACAGACAGCACATGAGTTAACACCAACAGATATCACTAGAATAGAACAAGAATAAAAATGTTGACCTGCCCAATACCTTATGACCCGGATCACCATTACTGTAAACATTAAGCCAAGTTTCAGGGAGATAGAAATAAACTCGACACTCGAAAAAAAAATAAGTGAAAGCTGGAGATAGTGACCGTAGATTAGGATAAAGGATAGATTAACTGTAGCACACACACACACACACATACACACACACTCTTGATAAGGTCGAGTCGAATACACCCCGTCGTCTTGTAAGCTGCCCAACACTTCATTGATAAGCTAATACTGGGGCTAGGTTAACATGAGTCAGGAATGTCAATATTACCCATTCTGTGTCCTAAGGTGAGATAGTGTGTGTGTGTGCGCGCATGTGTGGAATAAATGAATACGAATCAGACTAAACACTTGGCAACAGAAGATAAATAATGAAACAAAATACGGAGAAGTAAATGAATTAACATGATAAATGCAGAGATAAATGGGAACAACTTCGTGATATAATTAAAACAGGTAATTAACAGAGATAATTTAAAGATAATAACAATGAACAAATATGGTAATGATGTAGACTAAATTAAGAATAAACACACGGACATTATTTATCTATCGTAAATGTAGTGAATACTGTATAACCTAGGTAGATTATTAATTCACTCGGGAGGTTTACTTTAAGATTTATTGAATTATGAATAACCTTGAGTGAATTATTGAACAGGTGTGTGTGTGTGTGTGTGTGTGTGTGTGTGTGTTGGGGGCTTGCCTTCAGTGACAGGCAAGCTGGCTGATAAACAGACTGACAGACCGGGGGGGAGGGGAGGGGGGGCTGGAAGACGCTGTTTTATTTGATAAATTACAAGGACTAATTAAATTGGTTGGCTTGGTCTGACTGTGTGTGTGTGTTATCGTGGTTTTCATAGACAAGTAAGTGGAATAAATAAAGGAATCAACTCTTCTAAGATAGCTAAGAGAGAATTCCTGTAGGGGTTAGCTAAGTCGGCTCCTGTTTGGCCTCTTACCGTGCCAGAAAGGAGAGCATGGAGTACCTGGTGTGAGAGGTGAAGCAAGCTCGTGTATCTTATAGCTCTTCCTCCTAGCCCTCATTAATCAGCCCTCCGTAATCATCCCTTCTAGCCCTCATTAATCATCCCTCCTAGCCCTCATTAATCATCCCTCCTAGCCCTCATTAATCAGCCCTCCGTAATCATCCCTTCTAGCCCTCATTAATCAGCCCTCCGTAATCGTCCCTTCTAGCCCTCATTAATCATCCCTTCTAGCCCTCATTAATCAGCCCTCCATTTAACCCTTTCCCTCTTACCCCTCCTCTACCCCTCTCTTCCTTACCTCTCACCCCTCCAGCCCCCCCTCTCTCCTCCAGCCCCCCCTCTCACCCCTCATTTACTCCTCCAGTGAAGTGGTTCCCCTTATCTCTTCTTAAGGCGTCACTAGTGAACACAACTCTTTATGTGTCAGTATTAAGGGCGTCTCCAGGGTGCTACTGTCGCGAGGTGCTGCTGGTGTTATTGTGAGGGACAGGTGGTGATTTATTTTTATTATTATTATTTTTTTATTATTATTATTATTATTATTATTATTTTTATTATTATTATTATTTTATTGTTATTATTATTATTTTTATTATTTTTTTTCCCAGGTCATCTTGGGGGTGGAGGCATCAAAGAGGACGAGACGAAGCACTTGTGTGACATTAGCGTTACACCACCCCCCTACACCCACGTTACCCACGCACGCCCAACCCACGTACGCCCAACCCACGTTACCCACGCCCGTCGCTTCTCTACTACCCACGCTCTCCCGCCCACAGCGCCTGCGAACGCCCATACCAAGAGAAGATATACACCGTATGATCTTCCTTCTTACTGGAAAAAGAAAACCTCAGAGGAAATCTACAATACCTTGCTGGGACTTGTATGTGTGTACGGACGACCTGGATTGATCACACTTGATTCCTTATTGAAAGTCACCTCAGTCTTTTAAAACTAATTCTTCCTTATTTCTCTGAAGACTACCCGGTTTGACCTTTTATTGACCTGTGTTGAAAGGTCATCTTGTGTATGACCCCTTCCCACGTGTTTTGTCATTTTAGTTTTGACCCTTTCTTTGTTAACGACCTGGATTTAACGTGTTCCTAAGCGACAGACAGACAGACAGACAGACAGACAGAAACAGTCCATTTTGTAGCGAGTAGTGTGTGTGAATGGGTAGAGGTTGATTCAGTCTTATGTTAGTTTACCCTCTAAATGAAAGTTACTTGAGCTTCGTTTTCTTTGACTCGACTGAACCCTTAGGACAAATTTCTTAAGTTTTTGTTTGTTTGTGTCTTGTTTTGTGTAAGTGAACCCCTGAGCCGTGGAGAATGTGAGGATCAGAGGCTCTTTGTGAACCCTTGGTGATGTGTTTGAACCTTTAGTGATGTTTGAATCCTTTCCATCCATACCCTGGACTATCTTGAACTTTCCCTAACCAATTGAACTTTGGAACTTACTCTTTCATTCGTGTTCAGAACCTTTGTGCAGTGGAACCTTAAAAAAAAGATCTCAAAGTAACCCAAATGAACCACAGTGTTGCTTTTTGAACCCTTCCCCGAGTCATTATCAAAGTTGAACCTTACAGTGGGAAATATTTATTCCGACAAGTTGAGTGATACTGTCAGTAATTATGGCCAAGTTTACAGCAAAAACACGAAGGAGTTTTGGGGGTTCTGAAGATCTCTAGTGAAGTGTGGTTGCGGTAACTGTGTCGTCTGCAGTGAAATTGAAGAAAACGAACGCCACCTTTTTGAAGTGATATTGAACCCTTGTTTTATTTGGAAGTGTGGTTGAACCTTTGTCACTTCTCGCTCACTTAAAGTATTACATGAATCTCTCGTTGAAACCAAAATAAATAAAAGAGATATTGTGATTTGAAAAGAAAACAAGAAAAAAAATTTACTTTAACTATAAACATAAATCGGGACCTGAAGCTCGTAAATATAGAAAAAATAATAATAACGACGACAATAGACTGACACTAGAGGAGAAAAAAAAAATATATTTTTGTACAGTCGAGGTTAGGTAGAAAAAAATATACTTTAGTACTGGTGTAACAGAAGACTGTAGTAAAACAACATTAAGTTGATATAGTGTTTATTAAAGAAGAGTTTGTGAGGAGAAGGATTATACACCTGTTGAAACGGCAGGTGAACGGTAATTAAGGCCCGGGAACAAAGGTGTGAGTTTGCGGAAGCAAGTGAGTGGGTTACCCGTGACAGGCCGCCACCACTACCCAGGCCGTCACCTCTCTCCGGGTCGTTGGTGGCCAGTTCGATGTTGAGGCCCGGGCGCCGCGTGGGAGCCTGGTTATCACAGAAGGATTGGCTCTGGGTGTTCCTGAGGGGCAGCGTCAGCAGCGTCTCCCGCTACCAGTCGTGGGCGTGGGCGTGGAACGTGGGCGTTCTCCTCATTCTCTCCACCGCCGCCCACCATAATTTCCCCAACGCTAACCCCACCACCACCACACCTTCCTCATCCCCCCTTTCCTTTTCCTCGCCCTTCCTCTCCTCTGCCGACTATCCTCCGTCCAGGGACGTGGGTGAGGCGCCACCCGCTCTAGATCCGGCCGAGGGGTCCCAGGAGGACCCCGGTGAGAGGGGCGTAACCATGACGGAGGTGCAGGTGTACAAGGTGATGATCGCCTCCGCCATCCTGGTGTTCTGGTCCGTCTTCTGGGTGGTTCATCTCATAGGCATCATCTACGGGTGAGTCGTGTGTGTGTGTGTGTGTGTGTGTGTGCGTGAGACAACAATTTTCTCCGGAATTTCACGCCACTTAGTAGTGATGGTGCATGTAAGTGGGGCTGATGATGTGCGCGTGCCAAGGCAGCTCCTCCTTGATGAGCCGTGTGTGCGTGCGCGTAACCCTCCGTCCGTCCACTTCTTTAAACTAGAGGATGGGCTGATGACACACAATCTCTCTCTCGTCGCTGAAGGCCAGTTATGAGGTATCCGTTGCACCCTCACAACACTCAATTACGTAATAGTAAAACAAACCGGGTACAGATTCATATAGAGTATTTTGTGTAAACTGAGTGTGGTATTTGTGTAACCTTGTCTCTTTAAGCTTGTTACAGCCGGGGCTTATACTTGTGTTATGTTTGTTACAGTCAGCTTATACTTGTGTTATGTTTGTTACAGCTTCAGCTTAACCTTGTGTCTTAAGCTTGTTACAGTCAGCTTATACTTGTGTTATGTTTGTTACAGTCAGCTTATACTTGTGTTATGTTTGCTACAGTCAGCTTATACTTGTGTTATGTTTGTTACAGTCAGCTTAAACTTGTGTCTTAAGCTTGTTACAGTCAGCTTATACTTGTTACAGTCAAATGAAGGAGAGGAGAGGGGCTGTGGAAGAGAGAGAGAGAGAGATAAACAAACAGACAGCTTTGGTTCAGGAGTACTGACTGTAAACGGGGGGGGGGGGTTACTACACACCTGTGAGGCTCTCTCTCTCTCTCTATGTCCACTTAATTCTCCATCTTTTCATCCCTCTCCTCCTCCTTAACATTTGCACTTGACATTTAATTTAATTCCTAGAACTAACTGGTGTTACGGGAACACGTGAGAGAGAGAGAGAGAGCACTTAACCTTCACGCACACACACAGAGGTATGCCTAGAGGCGTCTTCACTCAAACGACTTGCCGGGTTGTAATGGATCCTTGAGGCTCTCTCTCTCTCTCTCAGGCTACTCTCCCACCCTCATTATCCTTTCTCTTTTCTTTCTCTCTGCTCCTCCCCTTCTCTTCTTCCTCCTTACCTAACCCTTCTCGCCATTGCCCTTTTCTGTGCGCTTCTCCCCCTCCTCCCCTCCCCCTCCTCAATGTTTGTCTTTTCTGCTCTCCCTCCCCTCCCCCTCCCCAAGTGCAGCATTTTAGTGGCATGACGGCACTGATAATGGTGGAGGTGACCTCAAAATGGTGGGAGATAGAGATCACACACACACACAGTTCTACTTTTCTTCCGTTCCTGTCTTTTTTCCTCTGTTATTTATCTCTTTGTGTGTGTGTGTGTGTGTGTGTGTGTGTGTGTGTGTGTGTGTGTGCGTGCGTGCGTGCGTGCGTGCGTGCGTGCGTGCGTGCGTGCGTGTGCGTGTCTAGCCAACACCCATGTAGAACAAATATAATTGAGTTAGCATGTCACTTGGCAAGACTAGGTCACCAAGACACGTGTTAGGGCGGGCCAGGTCGATAATCTCTTGTGTTTCCCTACCGCTACCTGGGGGATAGGGTAGTGTTTGGTTAGGTTAGGGTACTGTTTGGTTAATATTACATTAGTTTAGGTTAACATTAGGTTAGATTAGCGTTAATTTAGCTTTAATCATCAGGTGATCCGCCTAACAAAGAGGCTGAGTGGGTACAGCTGTCGCCACCACCACTATGTTCTTACCCAAACTCGTACCCAGTTCACCTGACGTTACAGTTGGGGGCGTGAAGGTGGTCTAGTGCAGTGCCCGTCTTATATACTGTATCCGGACACACCCCTAAAGGTACACGAGGTTTATAGGGCTTTGACTCTCCCTCCTCAAGTGATCCTACAAGCTGGTGGTGAATTAATACACGATACCTGGATGTAATTAAGGCTAAAGGATCACGGGTAAAGTTAGATACTATGTAGAACAAGAAGAGCCCTGTCTGGTGACGTGAGGTGGGAGGTGACGTAAGGTATTACTGGCCCTCCCTGGCACCGGTGTTAGGCCGGGTGCCAGGGAACTACCACCACCACTGCTACACACAGGCAAGCACACAAGGAGATGTTTCCATTGTACACGCTGGGTGCCATGGTGTTAGGAGAGTGCCATGATGTTATGAACGTGCCACTGTACGCGCTGGGTCCACGATATTACGAGGGTGCCACTGTACACGCTTGGTGCCATGATGCTGTAGTTGAGTGCCAGAAATGCCATCACCAACCCACCGTTTAAACCCTTTGCTTTACATTAACCCATGAAGTAGAGGAACCCATATATAACAAAACCCCATTGGCTACCAGAACTACTGCAGAAGGCGTTTACTATGAATGCTCCTGACGTAGAAGGCTCCTGGAGGTACAGTCTCGTTCAAGATTCTTCGAACACTGACGGAGACAGCTGGCAACTGAAGGTCGTTTGTTTACTATAGTTTGTAGCATAATATAATACTGAACAACAAAGCCCAACCCTTAAATGAAGCAACGGGGAACTAAGTAACCAATCACCGATCACTTTTACATTTACTCATAATTTTTACTACGTACTACAGGTATAGTAAACAAACGGCCTTGAGTTGCCAGCTGTCTCCGTCAGTGTTCGAAGAATCTTGAACGAGACTGTACAAGGACTCGTACACAAGCACGTGTAAAGTGCGAAGGGAAGTGTAATGTGACTTGAGGGAGGACGTCGGAGGGCCTTACACTCTACTGTATATTAAGACTTCAAGTGTAAGGGCGAGGAGAGTACGTGTGAGAGTGTGTCATGAGAGGGAGGAGGAGATAAAAGGGCAGGATAGTAGTTTTTTTTTTTAGTTTTTTTTTTAGTTTAACAAATTTATTGACAAAGGTTGGAGTACAGTTTGCCTATTGTAAGTAATTCAGTCAGACCTTGACACTGAGGGTGGTATCACTTCTCACTGCCACACAGGACAGAGGTTCATACACAAAGAAATACATCATATTCATTAACAATATATGTAGGTCAGAGTCATGTGGGTGATATCATTGTTCACTGCCACACAGGACAGAGGTTCATACAAAGGGGAATGGGTTGAGAGAGAGAGAGAGAGTGTGTGTGTGTGAGTTAACATGTGGTGTAGACAGGGAGTGTACCATCAATCGCTGCTGTATCTCATGTGTAATTATGCCTTTTTCCTCTCACCACCACGATCTCTCTCTCACCACCATAACGACGTTTCTCACAGCCTACATAACTAGGATTACATTACGACCCCTCCCCCAAGCTTCCATTACCACCATCAAGACCTCTCCTCACCCTCTTACCACCCCACGACGTCCCCCTCAGTCTCCACCCCTACCTCCCACCTTGACGACACCCCACCCCACCCCACCTCATCCTCCACGACCTCTACTTTCAACTCCTCTCTAACTCCTCCCTCATCCCTCCAACTTCCTCAACCCTCCACCTCACTTCATTTACACACACCTGGCAGGAAGGGAATTAACTCACTAGCCTCTCATATGACTTCCTTATGACGTCACTACAATGCCCCGTTGATAGATTTTTCTTCAGTAATCCATAACTGTGTGTAGCTGATGTGATGTTTTTTGTGTTGGGGGAGGGGGTGGAGGGGTGGGGAGAGTTTTCAGTGAGTAAAAAGGGGATTAGGAGTAGAGGGAGGGAAGTAAAGGTGAGGGAGATATAGATTAATGGAGAGAGAGAGAGAGAGAGAGAGAGAGAGTTCACAATGAAAGTGTGTCCCCACTCTGTATTGATTCCCTCCAGCCCTGCCCACACACGCACACCCACTCCACTCCACCCTCTCTGTCTCCTGCCCGCCCACATGTTTGCCTTAAGAACACCCATCGCCCATTTCCTTTGCTCTTCAATCCTTGCCCCTTCTCTATCTGTCTATACAACAGGCGATGGTATCGATTCTTTTGGGTTAAAAGACGAGATCATATTTAAGGGGTGGAGGGGGGGGTAGAGAGGGGGTTAGATGTGGGTTACGATTGTGTATTGGAGGTGTGATGGGGGTAAAGATGGAGTGGTGTGTGGAGGGGGCTTTAATGAGAGAGGGAGAGAAAGCCTCGCTCTAGCTCAGGTGAAGGTCATAGTAGTATATACAGTATAAACTCAGGGGATTAAGCCAAGGCATTTAATGTGAACCGATTGTCTCTCTTGTTATTGTTAGCAAGAGAAAAGATGGTTGGTTGTGGTTGGTGGTGGTTGTGCTAATTTGGTGGTAGTGATAAGTGGTGTTATAGGTTGGGATGGTGGTAGTAGTAATAGTGGTCGCTTGTGATTGTGGTTAGGATAATAGTGGTTGAGATTGTGGTCCTCCCCCCTCTTTCTCTTCCCCTTTCCTTTTCTTCTTCCCCTCTTCCCTCCTTCCTTTTCTTCTTCCCCTCTTCCCCCCTCCTCTCCTCTCTCCTTTTCTGGTTTTTATCCTCTTGTTATTTTCGCACAATTACTATCGGTTCCCGCCCCCCTCTCCCTACTCCCCTCACACAAACATCCGGTTCATCACTTACGTCGGTGTAGCTTCTAGCAAGTGTGTGTGTGTGTGTGTGTGTGTAATAATAATATTAATAATTAACGGTTTATTGAAGTAGTTCTGCAGCTCGAAGGCTGAAAATAAACATTGGACAAAAATGACTTATTACATACAAAGACATGGGGTGGGTGGGTCGTTTAACAAAAGCATTCATTGCTGAAAGAAGAAGGAACAATGATTGAACATACAAATTATTATAGTTTATGGCCCGGGCTGGTCATTGAGACACCAGGTGGTGTGGTGTAGTAACTCGTCCTCTGGTGTTGATATAGTTGAAGGACCTCCCGTGGTCATGGGGACACCAGGTGTTGTGGGGTTCAGTTGGTGCAATGACTCGTCCTTGGGTGTTGATATGAAGGACCTCACGTAGTCATGGAGACACCGTGTGGTGTCACAGTACCTCACTCTCTGCTGGGCGGTGTTGTGTTATCTTGTAGTCAGGTGTATAGCCGACCTGCTGTTGTTCCTGGGGTGGACGGATTAACACCGTCTGGTCAGAG